TTTCAAATTCAAGCAGTAGAACATAGGAAATCTTACTATATATTTTAGAACTGTGCATCTCTCCATCTGTCTGTCTGTCTGCGAGTCTGTTTGTTCAAGAACTCCTCCTACGCAGTAAGAGCTAGGACTACCAAGTTAGGTATGCAGCTTTCTCTTGTCATAACTTAAAAACAAGGTCAGGGTTTGGTTGTGCCAGGAAAATGGGATGTGCCTGGAATGCGATTGTTTCATATCAAACAGAAAAGACGGGTTATGATAGCAGGGAGAGTTATACTCACTAATGACCATGGGGGACAGCAAACACCCCAGCAAGCAGCTGCTAGCCAGCTGCACAGTCCTCACCACCCTGGTGTGCCCTACGGAGCACCAATGGCCCACCCCGCCACCTTGGGGTGCCCCTGGGGAGTGCTAGAGGGCAGGCTGCATGATCCCTCTGTCTGCCTGGGGCTGGCCCTGGGGAGAACCCAGTGGGTGGGGCGCACCCCCTTGACCCCAGGGTGGCTCTGGGGAGAAGCCGGCAGCCACCCCCACCCTCTGCACTGAGCCCTTCTCCTCCCAACCCCCGTCCTGATTCCCGCATCCCCACCCTCTGCCCTGAGTCCCTCCACACCCACCAGCCCTGACTCCTGTACACCCATACTCCCATATCCCCAAGCCCTTGTCCTGACTCTTCCCCAGCCCCTCCCCACTGCCAGCCCCCTGCCCTGAAGGACCTGACACGCCAGGTAAGTCTCTCTCCTAGGAAGATTATAAAGGGCCAGAGTGAGGTTTTATGGATTACCATATGTCCCGGTTTTCCTTGACACTGCCTCTTTTGCCTTTCTCGGTCTGGGAGGATTTCTCAAATACGAGGCAATGTCCACGTTACTGCAGAGCAGGCAAGCTGCAGCTCAGAAAACGCCCTGAGTAGACTCCTTCCCAATTGATCCTTCTTGTGTATCTGCAATTGACTGGTCTGTTCCTCTGCAAGCTGTAGCTGCTGGATCCCTCCCACCCAGGCCCAGCTGCCAGCCCACAGGGAAGTGTGGACTAACAGCTCTTGCTGCATCCTGGGCATGTGCCAGCCACCCTACTGCCTTGACATTGCCCCCCGCTTCTAGTGAGTACCCCCCACCAGTACCTCCTCCAGCTTCCTCTCCCCTCTCTGCCCCCAGTTATGCCTTTTCCTACAGCTCTCCCCGCTCCAGCATTGTCCTCTTATGGGAGCCTAAAATATGGTAAGTATATTGAGAGGAGTTGTGTAGTTGTGCTGCCATGGGAGTAGGTACGGTTCCTCCTCCAGCAGGACCGGGGAAAGGAGAACTTGTGCACTCCCTCATCCCCAGCTCACTGTGCAATGGGGAAGAGAATAAACCCACTCAGTTGCTCACAATGGGAAGTACTGGGCAGGCAGTGTCTGACATGGCTAACCTAATTGTATGTGTGTCTTGGAGGGGAAGAGTAGGGCTTACTCCCATGCACTGCCCTACAGCACAAAGACATTGACTTTCTATGTATTCATTTGTGGCTAGACAAACACTAAATCTATATGGGTACCATTGAAGAAAAAGGTCACATATATTTTGAAAAAATGCTAATATATCTTTCAGATCAACTTGCTTTGCCAGTAGAATCGGTGAGAAGTGAAGGACTGAATGGACATACAGACTGAGAGCTCCTTTTGCACTATCAAGATGGGCTTTCTGGTTTAGAGTCCTCTCTGGCTGCCCCAGTCCTTCCCACCCATAACCCCCCAACAGTTTTGGTAATGCAAAGAGTTGTTTGTCAGTCAGTTGAAAGCATATTACTAATAAGCTGTGGCTCACTGTGACTAATGACATTTTGTTTTCCTCTAGTTCTAGTATGAGCCACCAGTGGATTACCAGCCTTCAGAAGAAAATGAGAATTTTTGCCTCAATAACTCAACACATTTGGGGACTTTATGTATCAGAGAAGAAGCCAGGCTGGAAGAATCTGTTGCAGCTTTTCACAGTTTGCTGTACTGTTAGCTTCATCATAAGCAGCCTCTTACTTCTTGGCTTGTATTCCTTTATAGCACACTATCCTTTGGTTTTCTTAGCAATTTTTGGATTCATCTGGATTGGCTTGTCTATTGGGCTGTGTTCCTTCAAGTACATGCGCTGCTTTGGCACACTGATTTTTCTTTCTTTCAGCTTGCGGAATGGTAGAAATATACTTATTACTGCTGGCACTGGTGTTGTGGTAGCTGTTAACATCCAAAATATTTTTCACAACCTAAAGATGCTGGCAGACAGTATAACTTGCAATCTGGAGGCTGAGCAATTTGCCTTGATAAAAAAATATGTTAAAATAATTAAGTGGATTCATAATCAGATGCTACGTTCAAGTAACCCACTGACAGGAATAGTATCACTGAATGACAAATTCAATGCTTCTTACTTAATTTCAGATGAAGGTTTGAAAATGAAGCTAAACAACACAAAACAACAAATCCAGAGTGTTGCTAACCAGATATCTTCTGTACTGGCTATACAGCTTTCTATAAGCCAGAGACTGTTGCCTATTGTAGGAATTCTTCTGGTTCTTCTTGGCACATACCTTTTCTTCAGAAAATTCTTGGGCACTCAGAGAGAGAAGTTTAAAAATATTTACATTACAAAACGGTTCATTGAATTTGAGGAGCACCAAAGGCAGCAACAAAGGCCCTGTGTTCTTCCACTCAGTAAAAAAGAAACAAAGAAGTATGTGAGAATCCCATCCCTGTGTCTACAACACAAAGAAAGGAAAAGAATAGGACGCTTTTTAATCCCTGCATTTACTAATCTTTGCATCTGGGTTCTGTTTGCAGCAGTAGATTATTTGCTTTACTTGCTAATTTTTTCTGTGAGCAAGTATCTCCAAGCATTACCAGAGCTAGAGATTAATTTGAACGTCAGTTACCATGTAAGTACCTTACCTATAAGATAATATTGTGCTCTTAATATGTTTTACTACAGAATAATTCCTCTTGACTTCAGTAAATTCTCAGTCAGTCCTGTAGATTCTTCCCCCAACTCTTTCATTCCAGAGAATTCACCATTTCCTATCTATGATATATTTCTAGCTGGGCCATTACCATAGTGTCTGTGCATCAAATATTATGCTTCAAGTAATTTTGCTGAATGGGACCAGACAATTCTATGCTCCTCTTTGGTTTCATATTTCTAGGGGAAGTTATATAGGAGAAGAGATAGTTTCACCAGCCATTCTGTATCTTGATGTATTGTGGGGAAGGGTCACCCAAAGAGATACATTTTGTATTCTAACAAGATGCTGTGTGGTGATATGGAGTTCCACAAAGAGGTCCTTTTGCTTCAAACCCTGTCCTTTGCTCTCAAGAGTATCATCCATGAAGCTCATCAGTGATAATAATTTACTTCTACAGTAAATGATACCATCATGAAAGTGCCAGAAGAAAAGTGTCTGTGTGCAGCTGAGTTGAAAGATTTTCATAGAATCATAGAACACTAGAACTGGAAGGGACCTTGAGAGGTCACTGAGTCCAGTCCCCTGCCCTCATGACAGGACCACGCACCATCTAGACCATCCCTGATAGATATATTTTATCATATAACAGACTATTGCATTGCCTAGGAGCAAACATTAAAACTAACAACCCTCCTATGTTCCGCAAGTATATTCCTCAGTGACACTTAACACATGTATTCCACAAAGTCTCCATCATGGATTTGCACAAGTAAGGAAAACAATCTGTGGCCACATTTTATTAAAAGAGCACTTATAACAGAAATAGCTCCCATTGGGAAGAACTGCCCTGCAACTTGCAGTTGTCCAAAAGTAGGGTGCACCAAACAAAATAAGTCAGGTAAACAGGTGAGGTGGCAACTTTATTCTAGTTAGACCCTTATACCAAGTAAGTTCCAGGTTATGTTTTCCATCAGGAACTTCCAGCCTCACTTTGGTTTCTGTTCACAACTGCTTCTCCTTCATAAATTTGTGCCACTTGAGATCAATCACCAGAAACTTTCTGGCAACGAATTACCCTGGAGTTTCAGCTAGTGTTTAACTGCAAACTCTTGGGAGCATGACATTATTGAAAGAACATATCTTAAGAGCACGTCTAAACTACATTCCTTTGTTAAAAGAGGAATGTAAATGAGGCAAATCGAAAGTGTGAATGAAGGGTTTTTTTAAAGTGAAAGCATAGTCTAGACATGGTTCTTTTGAAAAAACCAAACCCTTTTTCGAACGAACCCGTACTCCTGAAAAAATGAGTATGGGTTCTTTCGAAAAAGGTTTTTTTTCCAAAAGAACCATGTCTAGAATGCACTTTTGCTTTTGAAAAATCCTTTTTTGAAAAAGCGTTCCGCTTTTGAATAATCCTTTTTTGAAAAAGCGTTCGGACATGAATATGCAAATGAAGCGCGGGATATTTAAATCCCTGCTTCATTTGCACTTTCGATTTGCCTCATTTACATTCCTCTTTCAAAAGAGAAATATAGTCTGGACATAGCCTTAGGAGAGGAACTAACATCACAGAATATTTTAAACAGAAACAGTGTTCAGACAAAATGGTGACACCCTTGCTTTATCACAGCAGAGGGAAACAGATGGAAAATGTGTCTCAGAAGAAAGCGCTAGTATGTAATTCCTCTTTATGAATAACTTCATTTCCTTTTAAGCACACAAGGATTCCTGCCCTCTATACACAGTACTTTCTGTACTGGAGACAATTTTAGTAGTTTATACACTTTATTCTGGACTGCTTTACTGATAAGAACAGCATCACCAGCCACCCAAGTTGTTAGCTAACCGGTACAAGCTTGTGTGCTAGGAAGACAATTCCACCTAGATGTTCTATGACAGGAGATGCTAGATAATCATGTCTAATACAGATGACCGCACAGCTGAATACAGAATGCAATAACTGTTATAAAAGAAAGTAGTTAGTACTGAAACCAGCTTTTTTCCCTCATACAGAACAATGAAAACAAGTTTATTGTCAACAATGGGAAGCTGAAGACAACAAATGATTCCTTTAACATTTCTCTGTTTAAACGTGAATGCCTCCCTAAACCAGAGTTTTCACCTTCCTCAACATGGATCCCACTTGGATGCATCATTTTTTTTCTAATAATAGTTGTGTTATTCTCCACCACTCTGACACAACTTAAAATACTTGTGTCAACTTCATTTTATCCCAAAATAGAGATGGAACGGATACATTATCTGCATGCAAAACTCCTGAGAAAAAGATCAAAGTTTCCGCAGAAAAATGTAAAAAGGAAATTGAACTCATTTGCTACAATGGTAAGCCATGATACTATAGAAAAAGATCTCTCTCTCTCTCTCTCTCTCTCTCTCTCAGAATAACTGCACAATTTAAATTCCAATGTAGCTCAGAACTATTCCAATGTCCAGGTATAGTTGAAACCAGGGTTTTGGGCTGCTTGATCATAAAGGCCCCAGCCCAGGAAAGTATTTAAACATTAGCTTATTTTTAAGCACATGCTGGATAAGACTGGACGCTAGCACATGTGTAAGTGTTTCTTTGTATTGGGGCCAGAGATAAGTTGCAATTCTATTTCCCTGTTGTCATATCCATACAACACATGACCTATATGAGAACACAGACACATCAACATAGGCCTGGTAATCATGTGCTGGCGCAATTAGATTTCCTAGACCCTGAGCTCTTTAAGGCAGAGACTAAGTCTTCATGTATGTGTCGAACGTGCCCAGTTTTTAAATGGTGTACTCAGCATCCAAACATGAAATAACTTGTATTGATAATCAGCTTCTCACTGTTAAGAGCAATGTTTAATTTCTAGCAGATCAAGATGTAGGGTACATCTAGACTGCAGAGTTTTTCCGGGATGCCTCCAGAATCCAAGGAAAAGTTTCGGAAAAGCAGATGCGTTTTTTTGGCATCCTCATAAACCTCAGTCTATGAGGAAGAAGGGATGTTCCAAAAGAGGCCTTTTTCCAACATTTGGCCCAGTGTAGATGGGCCAATTGTCAGAAAAGCCTCTTTTGGAAGAAAAGCGGAAAAAGATACACAATTTGCATATCTTTTTCCAATAGAACTTTGTAGTCTAGACATGGCCGTACTATGGTTAATGCAGTTCAGTTTGTAAACACTATTTGATGGAGACTGCAAATTGCACAAAACAAGCAGAACTTTTTATTTTCAGATGCAAAAACCTAAGAACTACCCAAATATATATCTTATTGGATATCTATGGAAAAATAGTGCTGAGCATTTAAGATACTTGATGAAGGGTCTGTGAAGGGCTTGGTGATAACATGTCATTAACATACCTTTTCTGTCTTCCCAGTTCCACTTCTGGTTCCCAGTATTCAAGGCATTTGAGATGGTCAGGAAGAAAGAAAAAGATACGATGCACATGAACAATGTTTGAAAAAGGCCAAGTAACCTTTTGGATAAGCTCACAGTTCTTTGGTTCAATAGGTCTCTGCATACTGCATCTGTATTGCTCCTGCTTTGTTTAAATATTTCCATAATCTGCTGCTAGTTAATTTGTATATATATCTACTGCTGCCAGTTAATTTGTATTATATATTATTTGTGTGTGTATATATATATATAATTTAAATAGGTACAAATAGATGTCCAAAGTTATCAGCCTGCAGTATTTTGGTAAAATCTGAGAAACAGTAATAATATAAAATAGCACTTGAGGTCTTCCAGCTTTTCCTGTTATTTAATCCATTTTCAGCTCTGATTCTTCACTGCCTTGCACCTGTGTGGACACCTAGAGCCTGACTCCCATGAATGGGAAGGATGCTATACATTGCAGTGGCAGTATTACTCTGTAATTTACATTTGCACCCACCTTGAATACCCTGTATTCTTCTAGTGTGTGCCCCAACTGTAAAATATAAATCAGGCTTTTAGTTTCTAATTCAACTTTAAGCATGAGTTGTCCCATTGATATAAATGACCCTACTGAAGAGAAAAAAGTTAAATATATTCTTAAGTAT